CGAGCCGAGTCTTTTCTCGCCGCGGTGCGCTTCGCCTCGCTCAAAACGGACGGACGGCGCGCGCGGACGTACGTACTCATCGGCTGCTTCTGGTCAGCTCGACTGTAATACGCGTGAGGCACAGTCGAAGACTCGCCTTTGTCCCGCTTTCGTGGTATCGACCCGATACGGGTGACCTAGACTCACTTGCGAGGAAATATACCCAACCTTTGACAGCCGCTCGCTCGCTACGACGAAACTGGCCCGAATCGATAGAGGGTTGCTAATAATTACGCACGTGCGAACCGTCGCGCGCGCGCGTCCACGACGACGTCAGCGTTCGCGGCGATGACGACGACGATAACGATCACGACGACGACGACGACGACGACGATGACGGTTGTAGACGCGCGACCGGGTGAAACGGTGCGCGCTCCCGCGTTCTTGGATAGGAAATAGTCATTAAGTTATTTCGGTGCTGTGTTCGGAATTTGCTATTGAACCGCGTCGACCGCGCGCGCACTCTTTATCTTTCCTCTCTCCCTCCCTCCCCCCCTCTCTCTCTCTCTCTCTCGTCGATTTAGCGTGTCGAGGGAATGCGCGGCCGTTTATTTTTCCGCGCGTCGCGGGGCGCCGAAATGTTTGGCGGATTATTGTGCGATCGCTGTTGATGTAAATTCGGCATCTGCTAGGCAGCGTCTCGTGGATGCGCGCGAACGAGATGATTTCTCTCGAGCAGGATGCATCTTTGAGAGGGAGTAGTGAGGGTGTATGTGTGTGTCGCGTCAAGTAAGGTTAAAACTCGCAGGGGCGGGCTCGCGAGTTCGAGTGAAAATGCCCGAGCTTACAGATAGGCGATTTAAGGGTTTCTCGACGTGCTCGCAACGCGCGCGAAACGTCGGATTATTTGGACAAAAGTGGAGATTTGCACATCGCGATGAATTGTGGGAAGTACGCGCGTCGCGAGCTCCGCGACCTCTAATTTCTTAGAGCCCGGCGGTTGCCCGCGACGTTCGGGCAGGAGAGAGAGGGCTTTGCGGATTTGCGAGAAGGGCGAAATTCCCTGTTGAATTTTTCATCGATCCCGTTGCACGGGAAATCTGCTCTGCGGCTTTCGCTATCCGGGTAATTACGTTCCATCCTTCTCTCTCTCTCTCTCTCTCTCTCTCTCTCTCTCTCACTCTCTCTCTCTCTCTCTCTCTCTCTCCTCTCTCTCTCCTTCGAGTGGGGCCAAACAGAAGGATGAAAGCTCCGAGTCGAAGGATGAAAGCTTCCCGCGACGAAATAATATTTACTCATCCGTTCGAAAATTCGTTTCAGCGTTTGAAACATCTTTCATGGGATAACATCACATCGCGAAGACGATATCGCGCGAGCGAGTGTGCAGTCGATTACACGTAGAATTAGAATAAAGTGTGCTTCCCCGCGATATATACCGCACGCATTTTCTTGCAAGTCGTTGTCCAATCGCTGTCGAATCTAAGAAAGAGAGAGAGAGAGAGAGAGAGAGAGAAGAGAAGGCGAGGTTGGGGTGATTTTTGCCGGGACGCGTGCCAAGATACACGAAGATCGATTAATGGTTAATAACGCTGCCGGGATAACGACTGCCGCCGAGTATCTCCGGCTAGTTATAGGACTCGCAGAGAGTCGCGGATGAAGAGACACGACGCCTCTCTCTCGCGCGCGTATCTCGCTCCCGGGGCGTAGAAAGCCGACGAGCGTAGCGCTGCTAGTAGAAATAGATAGTCGCTGTCAGACGCGCGCCTCATGGAAGTAACGGAGCGGCGGGGAGATGGGCGTGCTTGATCGATTTTATTCGACGGTGGACGCTTCTTCCGTTTGGGAACCGATCGCCTCCTTCGACCTCCTCGACTGCCCGGTTGTAATAGATTTTTTTAAATATACATGCGATATATAATACAAGCCGCGTGCACGGCACTCTGCATTGTTACGCATGCCGTCAACCCTCCGCCATTGCCGAAGCTCCCCATTAGACTCGAGCCGATGTTCCGTATACTCGTCGCGACGTCCGCGCCGCAGCCGATATCGATAGTCCGACTTTAGGAGTTCGAGATCGTCAGGATCGTTCGTCTTCGGGTGTTCTCCGTACGGCCGGCCGAAGCTGAAGAAGCCGAAAGGCGGCGCGGGCGATCTGAAAAATACAACAGCCGAGCGAAAATATCGGCTTTTGTATCTCGAGAATGCGGAGCTCGACCTCGCGTCTCGATTGGGCCATCGAACGCATATCGACACGCTCACGAGATATCGATGTTTATCACTCGTCATCGACGAGAGAGATACCCCGAGAGGTGTTTCCCGCGGGATCTCCGGCTTCTCCGGCGGACTGCGGGATTTAAAGCGGGCGGGGATTTCATTTGCGTCGCCGATCACACGCGAGAGCACAGCCAAGCGCGACCGAAGCTTTTATCGAAGTAGGATAATGCAACGCGGTGGCGCTGCACTCACACGTATCGCTCGCATCTTTTCTTCTTTTGCTCGCACATCTATTTCTCTTTTCTTTTTTTGTATTTTCTTTCCCTATTTATCGTATGAGAATCTTTTCACTCGTTATACCCGCTCGTTGTCTCAACTGTCGACCAAACGGGTCAGACCCGTATGTTATTAATAAATAAATAAATAAATAAATAAATAAATAAAAAGAAATCTTTTCGCGGCTGAGCGTTGATCCGCGCGCTTGATTTCCGACGTGGAACTTCGGGCGCGAGACACGCCTCTCGAGACGCGCGCGCGGAAGCTGCTTGAACAATCGGCGCGTTCTCTTACCATTTTCCGCTCTCGAAACGCGCGTCTATCTAGTCTGCCTGATGTATGCGCGCGCTTGCCTGTGTATCCGTCGGACGATCGTTTCGCCGGACGGAGAATCTCGCGCGCCAGAGGCGGCGACGGCCATTGTTCCGCCGCGCGCGCGCGCGCGCGTCTTCGGTCGCGGATTATAAATAACACTTGGCGATTTCTTTCCGTCATCGGGCTGTGAACCGGTTAAAAA